CCAAGAGAAAGGACAAAAACTTTCTGAACAGAATTTTCAGTATTTTCTTTACGCTGAAAAGTTCAGTTGGGCCAAAAATGAACCACTATGCAGATACAAATTCTATTTTTCGTGAGAAAAAACACTGGATAAAAGGATAGATTTTGGAGATCTGAAATCCTATTTGAAATGCAAGATTCCTGAGACTTTTATGTACCACCTTGAAACAGCTTTATACACCAACACAAGGTAATGTATTATAAAAATTTAATCATATAAATTAAATTTTCTGACTCCAATGCAGTCATTTTCAACCTGAGCAACTTAAGAGCTATTTAAATGTGTGAAATAAAAACATCATTTTAACATTCACCAAAAAGGTACAACATTTTTTATTTATTTATTTATATCACTAGGGATAAAAATTATATGAGCCACAGCAGACAGGGTTGCAGCAATAGAATATTGTTTGAGACAATCACTTTAAAATAGCCACACAAAGAAAATTCTGCATAGATGCTAGTTGAAAGGAATGAACAAACAATGAATTAAAAAGCTTGGAGAAACAACCTGCACAAAGAGCTAAGATATTAGGAAGAGGCCGGCTAGCATAGAACAGCATATGAAACTGGATTGCAGTGAATATTATATAAAAAGCTTCTACTTGATGTCCAAACTTGTTTCGAATCTGTTAAAACAATCAGCAACTTAGCATGGAATAGAACATCAAAGTCAAATATCAAATGAAAGATTGGTACAAGTAAATATAAAAAAATTTAAATTTATGATCATTTTCAATAATAGCAGATTCCATCACACACCTTAACTCTACAGTGAAAATATTTTTTAAGCTGATTCAAAAATGAAAGCGACCATTTAGTCTCTCTCTTCAGTTCAAAAAATGAAAGCTACTAAGTAACACTACACGTAATTAGTTTAAGAAAAAAAGATTATGTTATATCTAAATTGGCTCTAGGAATTTTAACCACCAAGGAAACTGTTTGTTTTCAGTTCATTTCTTTATGAAAAAACCATAAGAAGCCCGTATCAAAGGGGCACGAATAGAAACTTTGCTCTTTAAACTAGAAAGAGAACAAATACCAAGCCTTAGACCACACAACCAAAGGAAATCTTCAGGTAGATGCACATACACAGCAACCCAATATAAATGCTAAGGTTGCATATAAAAACCATAAAGGCAAAAGAGATGCTAGACGAACTGATACTACTGAAAGGGATCTCATTTTCAATTCTTGATCCTTATGCACCTCCAATTCAACCCAATGTTTAAAATCAATACGTATGACCAAGAGACCCCAAACCTCTGCCAGTCGGTTACCCTCGGGGGCGATACATCTCATATGAACTCTTGTAGCTTAAATACTTAACTAAAATTTAAATGCCCAGGAACTTGAGCACCTTTGGCTGAGCTCAATACCCACCAAATATTCCTAAGATATCAGCTACCAAGGTCGAATTTTCTCAGTGATGCACAAAAACAAGAAATAAACCCTTTTTTTTAACTCGTGAGTATCTAAAAACAAGAAATAAACCCTTTTTTTTTTAACTTGTGAGTATCTAGACTAGCTTGCGCACACCTCAACTATTTTCATGGGACAACCACTTGACCCAACAAGAAATAAACGTCTTAGTGAATGTCTTTCCATACTATATGATCATATAATAATTTTTCATCAATTGATTATGCAAGATTGGAAAGCTGTAAATTTTTTTTTCTTTTTTATGAGAAACCGTACTTTCATTGAGAGAAATGAAAAAGAAAATACACAAAAGGGGCATACAAAAAACAGTCTGTCAAGGGAATCCTTATAAGTACAGGCTCCAATCCAAAAGAATAAGACCTAACGGATAATTACAAAAGGCCTTAGTGGCCGAACCCATAAAGAAGTATTAAACCTAATGAGGTACCAAACATAATCCACAGATTTCTCCAAACCCCTAAACAGCCTATTGTTCCTCTCCAGCCAGATACCCCATAAAGAAGCCAGAAAGCACGCTTGTCAAAGAAAACGGCCTCTGTCACGAAAAAGGGAGATAACAACACTTCCTCCATCATCGCCCTACAATCTCTGAGCGAACCCAAGCAATACGAAAACCTTTAAAAAAACGACGCCATAACTCCTACGCAAATTGACAGGACCACAACAAATGCTCAAGATCTTCCGAGGCAATCCTACACAGAACACACCACTGCGGGCCCAGACAAAAGGAAGACATCCTTTGAATTCGATCCATAGTATTGACTTTACCAAGTAAGACTTGTCACCCAAAGAACTTAATCTTCTTTGGAATTTTAATCTTCCAAAGAGAGGTAAACCAAGGAGTCACTGGGGACGGAGAAGAGGAAGAAGAAGGAGAAGACAAAGAAGTAGAAGATGGGGAATTCAGGACATGGAAAAAAGAGCTACAAGAAAAGCTGTAATTGCATAGGTTTGAAGGGATGGTTCTCTCTACCCTCCGCTTTTAGGTTGTCTTCCCCTTTTTCTGGGTTTTTAGTTAATATTACATCCTTGTTTCTTATAAAAAAAAATAATAATAATTTTTCATCAATTCTCAATGGAAATTCTATCTATCAAACACCATTGTCACATGAAGACGGCCATCCTAAGCTACTACCAAAAATTCCATCATTGAAGTGTCACCACATTGTTTAGTACACACACTCTTCTTTCACCAACATACACTAATTACAACAGAAAGCAATAGATTACTTGATTGCAATGGAGCTCTTGATTCTTCTTATATTCAACTAAAGGTAAAATTATCCATATGAAATAACATGCAGCTAAATACCAGCGTGTCTTCCAATAATCAAAAGCTTCAATAAATTTTTTTTTTATCAGACTTCAATATTAAAAAAAAAAATTATTTAAAAAAGGTTCAAAAACAATAACTCAGTTTAGCTCAAGGATAAGAAGACTAACCATACCTATAAAGAAAATAAAATTTATTTTGGATAAGAGTTAGAGTAAATGAACTGTAGCCTACCTGAATACGGAAGAAACGTAATGTCGACAGTACAACACAACCTAATACTACACGAACTGCACCAAGAGAATTATAATATATGAGAACTTATATTAAAGGAACAAAAAAGAAACAAGAAGAATATGCACACAAGGAATGTAATGAGTGGGGTTGCTTCTACTCGTGCACAGAAATACCAATTGGTCTACAGGATAGCCATCACCGCCAAGTCTCAGAAATCAATGAGAAAACATTCAGTCATTTGATAAAAACAAATCTCTAACACAAGTGAAGGGGAAAATATCATAAGAGCTGTTTGATTTTTTCTGCACGTCACTCAAATCTGTTTTGTTTCAAAAAGTAGTAGTAATGATAATAACATCCAATTTTGTCTTGCAACTCGTCACAAGAGCATGTTAAGTTTCTTCTTCTTGAGTACCATTACGAAAGCTTTTACCCATTACAAAAACAACCCAGAGACAGGAGAAAATACGGCAGTTACATCAGTTTAAAAATAGAAAATATGCATTAGAATAATCAAACTAATATTATAACCGTAATCCATAATCAAAGTGATTTCTTACCTGCTAAAAGCCCATATATTTTGGGCAAGTGAAGCAGGTTTATTACTAGTACAAATGGAGATGCTAGCAGTGATACAAAAAGTGCACCTACAAAATTAGCATTACTTATTAGGCTCATAGCATTCTACAAACTCGAGGATATCAACATACCAATAAAAGTGAAAATTACCAATAAAAGTGCGAGGAACCACTCCAGGGAACTCCAAATGATCGTACTAACATTTCAAAGAAGAAAAAAAAGGACAAAATCCAAACATTTGGTTATAAAATCCAACGTAATCAATTTCAAACATAATCCACCCAGAGGGCAAAAGAAAGAATCTGCACTCCTTACATTGTCAATATGTTGCCGATGATACAAAATATCATGCATTGCCTGAAAAACACTACAATTATCAGGCAGCTTAAGCAATAATGACAACGTCCTTGATCAATTACATTTCTTCAAAAATAAACAACGGCACGCTACATCAAACTATGTTAATTTCAGGTAAAGATGAAGTGAAATTCTTGGTTGAGACCGGGAAGAAGGAGCAAGAGGTAACAAATTAGTAAACCTGAACGTTAAAGCTCTCTTCAACTTTAGTGTAGGGCGCCATGAAGGCATAAAACACGACTATGGATGCCAATAGCAGATCGTAACCGAAGCGCTGGAGAAACTTTGAGGATTTGGAAGCCATTGTTGGAGAGGCCGTGAACTCGATACTCAGAGAACAGGGGAATGCCGTTGAAGAGGGGAGTGATCAGGAGAGAGCGTGAGACTATACGCTGGGCCATGGACCGGGCTTTTGGTTTCGGGCTGGGCTTATTTAAAAAAAAACAAAAAATTGCCATATGATCCAACTATTTACAAATTTAATATTTTTAGCTCCAGTTTCAATTAAAATGGGGGAAAATCATAATGATAAGGAACTAGAATGAAATCAATCCAAATTGAAATTTGAATGTTATTTACTATCTTTTTTTTTTAATCGGAATTATGTTGTGTTATTAAAATTGTATTGAATTGAAATAAGAACAGAATATATTACAATTACTATAATATCTCTTTCTTATTTATAAAAATAAAAAGATAATGTGTGTTAATATTATTTTATATTAAACTAATAATAAACTTTAATTAGTTTGTGATCAACATAGTTCAACAATAATTAGCATGTTTTCTAAAAAAAAACAGTAATTTTTTTATATAACATGTATATTTTGTTTTATTACTATGATATTAATAGTAAAAACACCACATGGACGGGTTTTCAAGGTTTTTCAACGGTAATAATTATTATGACGATGTCAAAAGACACCACGTGGATAGATTTTGCAAACAGGACTTCTCTGCCAGATCGAGATTGAACCCGTCAAAGAGGGGCCCAATGTTTGGGGATGAAAATTTCTATTGCCACGTGGAGGACGGAGATTCGCCGCTGACAGAAGATTCAAATGAACAAACTTACGCAATTCCATATCGGAACCTTCCAAGATGGAAGACTTGTCATTTCCTATTAAGGACTAACCTGTCACTCCCACAATCATGGTCCTTGCGGATCTGATCATCCATATAATATACAAAAAGAAACTCCAGATATAGGAAAGTGTCCGAGTTCGATCTGCTTAAACCCGACACGTCCGACCTCTAATCCGATAAAGGTAATTGCCTGTCGCAACCTCTGTCGAAACCTAAACCTATAAATAGAGGGCCTCATTTCACCAGCAGGTATCGAATTTCTCATCGAATTTAATATTGAATCCGAGCTGCTTACTGACTTGAGCGTAAGATATTTTGCCCTCTAGTGCAGGTCTTCCCTTGGCGATTCGGGTCTGAGCAAGGACCAAATTCGAGCTAGATTGACGTTGTGCAAATTCACGCATAAACAACTATAATATCTCTTTCTTATTTATAGGAATAAAAAGATAATGTGTGTTAATATTATTTTATATTAAATTAATTATAAACTTTAATTGGTTTGTTAACATCAACATAGTTCAACGGTAATTAGCATGTTTTCTAAAAAAAACCGGTGCATGTATATTTGTTTTATTACTATGATATTAATAGTAAAGATTGTTGTTTAAAAAATTTATCTAATATTAATAAATACTTAAATAATTAAAATAAAACCACATCAACTATAAAATATTAATATAATTTTTATTATTTTATCATATATATAATTTTTATTAGAACAACTCTCAATAATATAAATATTATTAAGTTTTTGTTCTAGTTATAATATTTAATCATATATTTTATTTTATCAAATTTATTAATATTAATTAATAATAACAAAGTAAAAAATAAAGAATTTATAAACTAAGTGGAAATTTGTAATAATTTATGATAAAATCACATCAAATAATAATCAAATTGTAAAATAGTTAATTAAAAAGTCAGAAAAGAAAAATAGTAAAAAAAGAAACAAGTTAAAGTAGGTCCCATAAATTGATTAGGAAAAATGGTAAAAAATGATTCTCAAATTAAATTAGATGGGTCCATAATTTTAGTAAGAATACAAATTTTCATTTTGCTTTATTTTTTCTCATTCCTGTCTTAGTATTTTACAAACAATGCCACTTATCATCTGATTGGTAAAAAACTTTCCATCCGCCACTATTAAAATTTTGGAAGCTATTTAATTTTTAATTAAAAACATAGGTACACGAGCACATATATTTATCCACCACCATTAAATTTTTTACAAATAAAAATGGTAAATATAAAATTCGTCTGTTCAAATACATATCCTTAATTGTTGTGTTAAAAAATATATATACTAATTAATTAAAATTTAACATTTCTTTTAGTTCAACTAAAAGTTAACAGTTATAAGAATTATTTTACAATCAAATAGAATCTGCTTGATAATTTTATTATAACAAAATTATTACTTACTATTTAAAATTGTACTAATAACACAATTTCATTTAAGCCAATACGATAATTGAATAAATCATAATAAGTCCAAATTGTGTGTTTTTTTTATATATAAAATAAGATCGTACGTAAACGTGAAGAAAAAAAGTATACTATTTTCTGTCGAAATTTTATAAATCATAAATAATTTTGCATGGATATATAGAAATAATTTATTCTTTCAAAAGAACAAGACGGCACGTGAGAATCACATGGCGGCGCAATCCGCCGGCCTGAAGGAGACAGCCATTTTCTGAGTATCGTAACCGATCAAGAAGTTGGTCTGCAAAATATTGCCGTAGATGGAAACGCCGCCGTTTTGGGGGGCGCTGACGAAGGCCAAGCAAACGACGTCGTCCGCCATCCTTATGAACACATTTTCCCGGCTCAGTTTCACGTCCCCGCCTTCGAAGTGCACCGTGATGGACGGCGCGTCGAAGTCGTCGGCCGTCGACTGGAAGCAGAAGTCTAGAAATTGGTTCGGGTCTCTCACGCGCTCGAGATTGATCCCGTCGGAAACTGCGGTGCCAAAGTCGGCGTAGAAATCCGGTGGGAGTAACGTGACGGTGGTGCCGGAGTCGATGATGATGTTTGCATCTCCGGGTGACGAAGACGCGGTCGAAAACGTGATTTTGTTATTCCCAACGCTCATAGCTTCCAACTTGAGCCGATAGAACGGACCATCGGCTTCTCATAAGAATATGAATGAAAAGTTAAATATATTGATAAAATTTTTATCGACAGTCGGCACAAATAAAAAATTTCCTATTTGACAAGTATTTAATCATTTTTAATTTTCTGTCATCGAAAGTCGAGCTTTCCATTATTGCTATGTATTCTTTATCTTGTTATTATCAATTATTTCCAATTGTTTTAAAAATTAAAGCCAAAATTTGAAACATATTTTTCAAAAAGGAAATTTTGTTTTTAACAATTGGTTAAAAATGTAAATATAGTTTGAAGAAAAGTGAAAAATATAGAAAAAAAAATATATGATAAAATTAGCATAATTTTTAGTATTTGTTTGAATATTAAAGCACCTTAAAAAAATTGTTAATTATTTCGATTCATTATTTAGTAATAATTTATCATCACTACCTGTATAAATAGGGGTGGAGACAGTTCCGGCGCCGGCGACAACAGCATTAGCGCCGAAGCTGAGCTTGCTGGAACGGATCGAATCGGAACCGATCGAAGCTAAACAGTAAGAGAATTTCCCGGCGGTGGCCGCCCCCATCTGCGAGACCAGCGACACGACGCCGTGGCCGAGCCCCACTATGCCGGAGACATTCGCATTAAAGGTTCCGGCACTGTCACGGCCGCAGCCGAACACGGTCCAAGGAAAAGCCACCGGCCGGCCGGAGGTGGACCCCAGCGTCACGGTGTCGACAGCAATGTCGCCGCGGCTGTGGGACCCATCGCCGTAATTAATCGAGTACTCACACTGGTCAGACCGAACCGGGCAAGAGTCGGTTCCGGAGAACGGGCAAATCGGCGAGGAGCAGAGGATTTGTTTATAAGTCGCCGATTTTCTCGGGTCAAACATCGGCGCTGACTGCGTGTAGCACCGAGTGCACGGCGCACACTGGCTCCAAACGATGTCGCTTCCGGTATCGGCAATGGCCATGATCGGAAACGGCGGCGTTCCGAGGGATAGCTTCATGAGATACTCGCCTCTGTTGTTATACATCGGCGCCTCCGCAACGTCCGCCGCCGGCGCCGCCGCGTGCCGGCTGATGGAGCGGCGGAGGGCATTAGTGAGGCGGTGGTAGTGGGTCTCCGAGGGGTTGAACAGCGGCGAATTGGGAGAATCTCGGTGGATCAATTCGACGGTGAAGCCATAATCGACGGCGACGACGGCGGAGGAGAACAAGAGGAGGAGAGAAAGAATTGCCATGGATGAGATTGGCGATGGAGATTTTGGAGAATGGGATTTGAGGAATTGGATTAAATAGTGAACTGGAAATGGAAGTGAATGGAATCGATGGGGGCGTTTTGGAAGGCAAATTGTAAATTATGAATAATTGGTTAGGAGAATTATGTAATTAATTTGACGCTTTTGTTTCCTTTTATTGCATTTGGTGATTGTTTGTAATGGCGAAATTTATGGGAATTTATTCCAATGTTGGAATTCCAAGTCTGAGTGTTTTTTTAGTTATTGTATCTATTACAATTTAGACGTCGTGGGTGAGATTTTGAATAGGCAAAATTTTTCCTTTTTTTTCTTTTTTAAGAATTGTGTATGAAATTAGGATATGGTTTATGATGTAGAACTCATGTTTGTGCCGTGGATTAGTGCGGTTTATTGGACAAAACCATGAGTTTTGAGTTCACGAGGGGAGGAATATGAATGTTGAGTCGTTTTTTTTTTATAACGAACAATTAATTTGAGTTGTTTTATATATATTTTGTATTTCAAATATAAGTTTCTTAAACTTACATTTTTTTTAGTTTAAGATGTCTCTTGAAGATAGCGTATCAAGTGTTTAGAGTCTTAGGATATCATCTACTTTGAAGTTTCAAATTCGAACATTGTACGATCATAGATTTTTAGCTCAAACAACAAATCTCAATTATAAAAAAATTTAATTTTTTGTTTTGTTTCGTGCGGTGTGCTTATTAACATTGAAGGAATATGGGATTAATTTGTTAGAATATTTTTCATTTTCATTTAGCCAAACAACTAATCAACTGGGTCAAGTAGTACTAAAAGAATAAGGAATCAAGAGAGAAGAATACCTCCCTCTCTATGGTTGTATGTTTGAATCTTTGTCAATCAACTCGGAACAAAATAAAACTTTTCAATTTTTGTTCATATTCTTTTTAAAGTTTTATTAACTATCAATCGTATCACTTGATTAAAATTTAGTAGACATGAGAGTAACATATATATATATATATATATATATATATATATATATATAAATGACCAAGCCCGCGAACCTCGGCTCGGATTGAGAAATGACCTTGAAAACGAGTTGGAGAGAAACGAATAGGAGACTTGCAAGATAGAAAACACTCCAACACTCAAGTCAGGAAGAATCCGAGCAGTATTTAAAGATAAATACTGTATTCGCATACCAAAAATAAAACAAATGAGTTCCATTTGCAATGAGTTTAACAATATTCCGTTTGTAAATATGGTATATGAACTTTGTGTGTGACATGCATGTGTGACATTTTATTTTATCTGTGTATATGACTAGAAAACCACATTGGTTAGAAAAAAATAATTCATATAGAATTTTAAAATATTATTTTGACTTTTTTAATACAACAATACGTGGAATATGTGGAGTGGAGATTCAAACTCACGAATTTTTTTTTTGTTGGAGATATATGTGTTAACCAGCTCAACTAAACTTTGAGCTATACACATATAGTATGCTTTCGTACATTTTTCAATTAGAATTATTATTTTGGAAGGAAGTAAATTATTTAATATTTTTTTATCTCATATACATATATATATTAAAGGCATAATTGGAACAACTTTTGTCATAGTGTACTTTTTATATCAAAGATTAACGGTAAAATTGAAACTTTTGAAATTGAAACCAATCTCAAAGTTCTATATTCATGTGTCCAAATTTTCTATAATCTTACATGGTTTTGTCGAAGATATTGTTTTAAAGTAACAGTGAGCTATGAAATCAACACGTAATAGTGAATTCTGAAATGAAAGTTACATTACATAATGATAATTCTCTTCGTACCAATTATCTCATTACGAGACTTCACATTTGTTCTTTTTCCATAACTCTCCAGTACCCAATTTAGTCCCCCCACCCTTTTTTTGTTCCATTTGGGTACTTTCTCTTATGGGAGAGAAGAAGAATCACCCCTTTTCTTTAAGGGGATTTTCAATTTCTCAGCTTTCAATTCTAACCCAAAGAGTAATTAAATTTTGTGGAAAAAGAAAACAGGGTAACAAACAATTGATATATTTTGTCTAAAGACAGTGCTCTCTCAATAGCAATGCTACCGTCTGCCAAACCGAGCATAGCTCAAGTGGTTTAGACACTTTTCTCTGATCAAGAGGTCATGAGTTCAAACCCCACCC